ATTATAAAATAATTTTTCAAAATAAGTTTTACTACACAAATACGTCTATTCGTGTCGAAATTTAGAAACGAACTGTTAAAGAGTGAGTGAAAAAGAACTCCGATAGAAAAAACGCTCCTAGTGAGAATTAGATCGGTCACCGTTAGTGATAACAATTAGATGGGAAAGTTGACACATAGGTGTCAAGAATGCGCCGTTATTGTCAACAAAAGTATAAAAATATTAGACTTGGAATAGTAGAAATTAAATTAAAATAAATAAATAATAAGAAATGAATGAGTAAATAAATAAATACATTATAAGTATTTATAAATTAAAAAAAAAATTATACGCGAGAATCGAACCCGAGAACTCAAGCTTATGAATCGGACTCGTTACCACTCTGCTTCAGGACGCTCAAACAAAAGTACGTATAATTTATATATAAAGTGCTAAAAAACTTTAAGTTCGATTTTCTTGATTATATTTGAGTATTGCACTTTAGTATTTTACAGGTACTTACAGGTACTATTTCACTCACATGATGTACTACCTCTAAACCAAAGATCATCAAAATCCGTTACCCCAAAGCCGTAGGCTCTCCTTGTAAGGTAGCAATTTTAAGGCATTGATGAAATTACTTGATATGCAATTTGATCACAACTATAAGCATACAACTATGTCTAAATGATGAGTTTTTGCAGTAATTAGACAATTCCATCTGGATGCATTAACTTTTTTGTCAATAAATGTAATTAAAAACAAGCAAGTATTTATTGTGACATCATCACAATACCAAGCTGCAAGTTTTTATTTAATTTAAAATATAATGCTCTCCACCTCAAACCATACATCATACTTTTCCTGTTAGCTATAGAGTCATGCCAGTCATCTATCTAACTCAGCATTTTTCAATCTGTTTTATCTCACAGCACCTTAAACCTTTAATTAAATTTCTGTGGAAAAAAATCACATGATTTAANTATCTAACTCAGCATTTTTCAATCTGTTTTATCTCACAGCACCTTAAACCTTTAATTAAATTTCTGTGGAAAAAAATCACATGAGTTAAAGTTATGTTTGTAAACATTCTATCTCCATATTACTTGCCACTTAATTCTTTTTGTCTATATTTTTTGTAAATTAAATAAAACAGTATTGTTGTTCCTTAAAATAGCAGAAGGTAACAACAACAATACTTATTTAAGTTAATAATTTTTATTTACATAAGAAAAGCAATTAACATTAAGTCTTGATTTGCATTTAAAAGTGGCATGATAATTTCCTTTAAAAACTGCCCAATGTACTGCTATTTCTAAGTTAAAATAATTTGAACAAAATATGAACAAGTATAGATACATTTCTGATTTAAAGAAAATTTCATTTAAAATGGAATACACCCAGTTTCTGCACATATAGTTTTGCTTATAAATATATATATTTATTTATTTATTTCCTACATTATGTATATGTTAATTTATTTATTATAACTTGTGAAAAACTTGTATAATCAATTTTTAAAAATTTTAATTTTTTGATATATACACATATTGTTCTTTGGGTTTCTTTCAAAAATAATTTATTTAATAACCTTCAAAAATTTTTTCAGCACATCTACAGTACTCTTGCAGCACACTGGTTGAAAATTGCTGATTAACTGCTTTCAGGAGAAAATTTTTCAATTGAAATAACATGACTTCTGGTTTGCATCCAACTTCATATATAGTTAATCAGGGCCTTAAATCCCTAAGTTTTTCATTGCTGGTCTCAGCTTTCATCTCTCTAACTCTGTTCTTGAGATTAAAGAAGGACAGATAACAGTGGGAATTTATAGATCTACAATTTTTTCAAATTGCAGCCTAATGATATACAACTAAAAAATTAATGTAATAACTTAAATTTAAAATGCAACAATTTAAATTTTGAATGCCATAAGTCATATTTAAAATGTGACAATATTAAACTTCAAATGTAAAATTAAACAAAAATTTATTTTTATGATTTCCTTAAAGATACATTGTTCTCTGCTTTTAAAATTTAAAAATTGTCACATTTTTGTAAATAGTTGTAAACTTAAATTAAAATTGGATAGTTCTCTGTCTCTGTCTTTTCATGATTTAACTGAAGAAGCCTTAATATTAAAAGCAAAAATGCTTTTACAGTACTTATGTTCTTATAATCTTTTTAATCTTTCTTTTTATCATTGATACTGTATAGAATTTCTCAAATTTATCACATATAATTACATTGATTAAACAATATATTTCATTGGTTGTTCTATAAGATATTAGCAACTTATCAACATTTCTTTACATAAATTATGCTGTCCTATTATTTAAAGTCATTAATCTTGTATAATTCTGTGTGCTGTAAGCTAGAACTTCTAGATAATATTACCACACACCTTTCTCACTTTTTCTAGCAAATTTTAAGTAAATAAACAATTTTGTTCATTTAATTAAAAATTTGTTAGAGGTGTGTGGTAATATTATGATTAATCTTGTATACTACAGTCAACCCCCCTATAATTACGATTCCTATAAAACTACGAAAAAATTGCTACCGGTATCCGTAAAAAATAGTAAAAGTTCCCTATAAACACCTCAAACGTCATCGGGCAGCCGAACTACTTTCCCGCCGTCCGTAGCGCCACGCTACGGAGAGATTTCTATCGTCTGGACAGTATTATATAAATTATATATAAATTAGGTACTGTACATATAATTATATATAAATTAGGTACTGTATATATAATTATATATTAACTTATTGTAACTTTGTTATAATTAAATATATAATTTCCGCCGTCTAGCGTGGCGCCACGCAACGGAGATTTTTACGCTAACTATCGTCTGTCAGTATGTAAATTAAGTACCGTAAGTCTAATACAGTACTGTAATTTTATACATTTCTTGTGAAAGAAACATTTCTTATTCAACGGCGATAAAAATTATTTATATTAATGATGTCTCCGAAGTTCAAGGAACTATTAGCAGAAAAATAAGTTATTAGAAATCGGCCGCGGTTTGGTGAGCTGTTCCGCGACGAAAACAATGTTGAGCAATGGCGATGTCGAATGGTGACACTCGGTAAGTAATCCTACAATTTTTTATTTATAGCGTAGTTTATACGGATTATTTCCAAAAAATATATACGTGTTTTGGAAATGTTGAGTCGGATTAGTCTAGAATCGATTAATTTTATGGAAGAAAATCTTTCAAACAGCCGTAGTCCGTAAACTTGATACGTGTCGGGTTGTGATTGGAAGGATTCGTAAGAAATCGGATTCCTAAAGAATGGAACGTATCTATGATCTTATAGGGGGGTCGACTGTATATAATAAAAAAATATACAATATTTGTTGTAATCATGAAATTATTAAATAAAATAAACTTGATTTAATTTATATCAAATGTTTATAACCATTAAAGTAAATTTTACTTACATGGAAGTATACTAGTTTTTATTTCATTTTTCACACTTTTTTCAATTTTGTGTCCTACTGATGTATTAACTATTTCTGATAGAGTGGTTGTTTGTTTATCAATCCATTCTTCATCTTCAATATTTTCCACAACAAATGAATCTAGATTATTTACTTTGAAAGTTAAGACTGCTTTTCTTAACATCAGCAATTGAAAATTTTATGAAAATCATTTTATAATTACTTAATATTAATAATATCTATGAAAACTAAAAATAACCAAAGATAAACAAAGAAACACAAAAGTTTATTTATTCCATTAAGAATGTTTCCTATTAAAACTTATTCAATATTTTATACATTTGCATTTGTTTACTTTTACCTTGTATAAGTAAGTTTAAATTTTAAATTTTTATTATGATAACTATGATAATATTATAAGGAACTGAGTCGAGCATTATTTTTAGTTAACTTTTATTTTGCTTTCTATTCAATTTTTGTTTGGGGTTTATGTTTTGTTAGGACGAAGGTTCCTCACCACTCACCTTAGTAAATAAAAAAAACAGAAGAAAGAAAAACCAACTCACCGATAAAACAAAGTGCCATAGGAAAAACTCACGTGCACTTGTGCTCCCAAACGGAAAAAAGAAAGTCCGCAGTAAGAAAAGGGGGACACCCTACAGGCACTAAAATAGGGAACTTGCTAAACCTTATAAGAATTACAATATCTCAAAAAATGTAAGAAAGAATAATGTAAAAGGTTAGCGAGTATTGTCAGAAACTAGGCTGCCAGGCAAAGAATAAAAACTAAATGTTAGATGTAAGTATGTAAATGAGGGGAGTGATCCCAGACAGTTTTGTGACGTCACCTCAGAGTATAAAACCAGTACATCAAGAGAAGATGAGCGAGGTGAGCTCCAGATAGCAGCGAATGAGTGAAGTCCAAAAGCAATCGAGGTGATTCCAAGGCAATAGAGGTTATTCCAAAGCGATAGTAGTAGTTCCAGATTGTGGATTGAGGATAAAGGAAAAAAGGTTCCTAGTATATTGAGATGATGGTTAGGACTTTAGTTGATATGACTTGTTGTATATAGGTTAAGTATTTGAGTTTTGTCGAGTTTCAAAGGGGAATAGTTTTAAGTTAGTAAGTAGATTGAATTGATTTTGTCTGGTTTGTTCATATTGTTGATTTTCCTTGAATAAATTGTTGTTGCTTATTACTAATCTTGTAAAGTCATTACTTGAGTTACTATTAAATATTTGATCTTTGATTAACTTTGTAAATAATTAGTTTGGTGCACGCATAAGTCCAGGCCTGGCAAATTAACCGTGAATCCGCGTAAAGTACCTGTTAGGTTAATGGACATTTCACCGGCACACAGTTTCATGTCGGCACTCATCTTATCGATAAAAAAATAGTACTTTACAATATTATTACTATTATTTCCTACCAAACATTGTCGCTTCCTAGAAAGATATATAGATGAATTATTAAGTTGAAATACATTACTATGGAATAAATAAATTTATTTATGCATCCATCTATCTTTGCTAATGTATATTTTATTAAAAAATTTATTCAATATAAAGGATACTTTCAAAATCTATTTGTTTGGAAACAATCTTCTCTACATTATTACATATGATTTTATCCATATGTTTTATTTGATCTTGTAAAGACGGAAGTGATTTCATCTGCTTTTGATGACTCAGGAGCTTATGTTTTACTTTGCAAATACTATTTTGCTGAGACTTCACCAAATCCATAGCTTTAGGCAATGTTTCAGTCAATTTATCCAATGTTGACTGTAATCTATTTAATAAAAGTTAGTATTTTTAGGATAAATGTTATCAAAATTATAAGAGAAATTCATCTGTATGGCATATTATTTACTGTAATATTTAAAGATATATTAAGACTGATTAATCCAGAAATACTTTGTAAATTTAGAAATTAAATAAATATATTTTTCAATTCCTGATGTAAACAGTCACATTTCTTCCAAATGACAATGACTAAGCAGGTGAGAATAACATCCATTATTATTTTATTGTAATTCTTATTATATATGCAATTCAAGTTTAGATGTTCTGAGTTCAAGACACTATTTCACAAGGAATGTAGAAATACAATGATTCAAAATGTAATTTACAGAATAACTATGTTTAAATAAAAAATACATTAATCTTAATTTCAAAATTAAAATTTTGAATTCTAAATGAATATTAGAACATCAACAACACAAGGCTGAAAGAACAACAACAGCAACAACAAAATTACCATTGAAAAGGCTAATATTCATTTTTCTATGGCCAAATCCAGATTTTTGACACCCAGATTTTCAATGCTTCACTGTATATATATATATAATAATATACAATATATTTATTTTAAAATTTTGTAAAGATTACTTTTAGCAAATATTTCCTAAGTAACATGGTTACATGACAAAACACAAATTATCAAAAGTTGATAATAAATTTGCTTAGTGTGGAAAATTTAAAGCAAATATTTAATTGCCAGATTTACCAGGCTATATTTAGACCACTGATTTAATTAACTAACTACATAATTTGTCTAAAGATATGCAGATTGTGATTCTACATAAAGTTTTTGCATTTTATTTCCTACTCACAAAATAAATACAAAATTAGGTATGTTTTAAATAATCACCATTAGATCAATAATAATAGAAAGAATTTAGACCATCATCTTGTGTTAATACTTATAATCAGAAATTAAATTTAAATTAAACAACAAATTATTTAGAATAATCTGAAAGGAAATATTAGTAAATCAGGCTAGTTGAAATGATAATTTTAAATTACTCACGTCTGTAATTTAGATATTGTACTATTCTTACATTGCTTCATACTTTCAGAAGGAACATAACTATTTAAATTGTTCATAAAAGATGTTGAAATCCTGTAGAATTAATTATTATTAAGATAGGGAGAAATTTGAAAATACAATCAAAATTGTTAAAAATACAAATATTTTATATTTAAAAGATATTTACTTTTCTGTCTCATTTTTAATGTTCACATCATTATTTCTTGAATTAATAAATTTATTTTCTTCAGAATCTTCTTTACGTTCTATTGAGCATATATTTTTATTCAATATATTATTGTCCTTAATTGGTGAATCTATTGGTAATTTCTGATTTTCCTTGCTATGTTGTTTATCTATAATAAATTTTTATAAATGTTAATTCATATTTATAGGTGCATATTACATTAAAGCTATTATCATTTATTAAGTTCTTCATAAACTAAAATAATTGTTTAATCATCTATGAATTAAAATAAAAACTAAAAATTTAATAATTACAATTTTTAAACAAAATATCTTTCCTTAAACATTTTCCAATTCATTAATTGCAAATTAAAACTATCATATTTAAAAAGTACTGACCAACTTATCCACATTTACAGCTTTCCTTTTTACATAATATAAAAGTGTATTTAAAATTTTTTACATATATAAATAGTCAACAACAAAATTATTATTGTAATTTAATGTATCATTAAAAATAAACAAGTTTATTAAACAGCAACATTAATTACAATTTTAAATGTATTTTATATTTATGAATAAATTTTTATCTATTAACAATTTTTTTCTAAGCTACTAAAAACTTCATTTCAGATTTGATCTGATTATGCCAATTAAATTCCACTGTTTTAAAATATTAAATTTTACATATTAGAATCTCAAATCAAATTTCAACATTAAAGCTTTAAACAATTTGAAATTTTATACTGATTGATAACATGTCTTGACATTTCTAATAGAAAACTAAAAAGTTTATATAATAATTTGAATGCTACAAAAGATAACAATTTAAAAATGTATTTATTCTAAATCTAATTCTTTAATTATATATTTGCTTTTAATAGATAAATAACACAAATCTATATAGTTTCTAGCATGTTCAAGATTACATCTGTTCTTTGATAATTCAATCATGTTGAATATGAAAACAACATATTCCTATCAAATACAGTTTTCTTACAACAATAAAAATATTTTAAATTATTTCATTCACTTTACATGTTGAAGAAGTGTAGTTTAGTAAGAAAGAAAATTTCAGAATAAAATTTATGTAACTTTTTGCACCAAAGTGTAAAAGTCAGCATTAAAAGTAAAAAAGGCATTTTTCAGAAAAGCTTGGTTAAGCCAAAGAAGGTTCTTTGTCTCCAATATCACATAAAACAGAATTTTAAAACAATTTGTCAATGCATTAGACAAAAATAGAAAGTGTTTCAAATACCTGTAAAGCAAGTTTTCCAATCTTTCAGAAGCCAATTTAAAAGAAGACATGACATAAAACTGGTAAATAAACATTTTAAAATTCCAATGACAAAATTCTAATAATAAGCATAAGTAAGCTTCTCATAAATAGTATGCTTAATTTTCTTTAAAACAAAAAACATTTCCTCATACCAAAGAAAATTAAACATATTATAGAATGTATGCCAAAATTTTGAAATATTAATGAACTGGGAAAAAAATCAAATTGTTTTGTTATGCAATCAAAATTATTAAAATGAAAAATGATAAATAATACCACTTAAATTAAAATTATTTATCATTTTTGTACTTTGTAAATTTTGGGAGAGATTTAGTGTCCTGAAAAATATTCTGCACCCCTCCACATAAGTTGTATTACACCACATTACTTCTTGCTGCTTGCAAACAGCTACACTTAGTCAGGCATATTGTCAGCAAAAAATCAACAAGACAGCCAAGGAGGCAAATTCCTTAACTTTTCCTGACTCTCCATGACTTTTTCCAAACACTAATGAAAATCCCTTGACTTTCCCAGGTGCCCTGGAAAGTCAGGTAAGAATCCTATATATTAATAGTAATAAAAAAAACTTTTATATTACAAATAAAATAAAACTGAACTAATTCAAACTATGCAATTAATCAATTTTTATTTAACCAGCTCAGTTTTATAGTTGTAATAATTCAATTTATTCAGTTCTTTGTTTTGTATCACAAGATATGATATTTGTATATGTCTGACAATCTTCAAACCTTTTAAAAGAACAGACTTTTAATGTAAATATCTAGAAAACAGCACAGTTAGTTCAAGTTTTTAAATAAATATTTCAATTACAGTAAAACTACTCACTAATAGATACTCATAAAGAATTATAAACTGTCCATTTTTGGGAAGGAAACAAGAAAACAAGAAAAACTTTTTAAACATAAAATTCATAAAAACAAACTTTTAATGCTTTTTTTATATATTTATATAAAAACTAAAATTAAAATAATCCAAAATTATCATCTGTATTTAATGTGCTCAAATTTGTGTGTGATGATATCTCAGTATTAAGAAATGTCTTTTTCATGACTTGATTTCCATTCTTTATCCAAGATTTCATCTTCCTTGTTTCTCAAAATTTATTCACTTGAAATTTTTGATGCTCAGTTTAGGTACTAAATCACAAACTTAATTTTTCTTTTTCATTTAATTTTATTACATTAAATAGTTAATGTTGAAGAAAAAAGTTGTGTTTCTGAGTATTTTTTAACAAATTTACAAATTGCAACTTAGTCCTTCGTGAAAGTTTTATTGACAACTGTCAAAAATTACATATATAAGTGACCCCCATGATGTTACTTGCCATTTCAATGAAAAAGTCAAGTTCTGAATTTAAAATTTTGAATTTTATTTCTTTAATTTTCATTATTTTTTATTTAATATAAATTTAGTATTTGCATATTGCAATTGCATATAAAAATATTAGTAAAAGCATTAAAGGGAGAAGTTTTATTTTTATATATTTTAAACTTTATCTATAATCTGTTTGTTAGATTAAAGTAATGCATATTTTACATCAATTTGACATCAATTGTAAAAGTGAAGAGATGAGCTTAAAATGTATATTTTCTAGACAAAACAAATAGGGCATCATAGTTTTTATAATGATAAATTAGCAACTGTTTGTTATATTATGATCTAAAATACCTGAGTAGGTTATTCAGAATGTTCACTATTAGAAAAAATTTATGTTAAATTTTATGTGGTCTATTAATCAAACTTGTTTGATAACATTTATAATACAGATTATATTTATAATATACAAATTATATCACATCATATAAAAATTTACAGTATATTTCAAACTAAAAACTTGTTTCCTGAAAACAACTTATATGATTTACTAAATCTTAAATTACATAATTTATTTTCAATATAGAAAAAATAAACTACATCCAATATGGCTGATTTTAATTCGCTATTTGTTCATTGAACCTTTGACCTCAGAGGTCAGCCAGAAAAATAAATGTAGGTTAGTTTCTTGGCATACTTTTCTTAAAAGGTATACCAACATGCAGATCTCAAATAGAAGGGATAACACTCAACAGGTTAACAAGAAAAATTCCATTTATTAAAAGTCATTAGAAGTCTTGTTTTACATACTATATGCTTTGTTACACATCACAGAGAGAGTTCTCTATAAATCTATATATTTGCTTACAGCTATCAGCAGGTTTATGGGTCATCAAATGAACAGTCAGTTCACTTTGTTGTTCATTTCCAGGCATCCATTTTGTTCTTGGTAAATCCTGCTGATGACTTCCAAACATTGCTTGTGCATTCTGGTAAGGATCCTCTAAACTCCACTGTATATACATCAGTGAAAATTCTCTGAATTCACTGTCCTAATACATTTATAAAGATCCCCAAACTCTCTGAAGACTACTCTAATATCAAATTTTTTACTCTGATTTGTCCAATCACATAGACAGTCAATTCAGGTTCATCAATCACCTGAATAATTTAGGGTCATGCAAGTGACAATTAGTTTTGTCACTTTACAGAAATATATCTTATGCACAGATGTCAAATCACTATTATTGATAAAAAAGTAATGCTGTTTCCATCTAGAACTACTGTTTTCTCATAGTAATGATCAAGATAATACAATAAGGATCAATCATCAAATAACAACATAAATGTGTTGATAGCTTACAAAATAAACAAACACATCAATAAGTTTAACTAGGGGTCCACAGATAAAAAATATTAGTAATTAATTAAGTGTCATAATTTTAGGGATCTGTTAAAAATCATGATCTAATACAGGGGTGTCCAACCTTTTCGTTTCTCTGGGCCGCATTGGAAGAAGTCATGGAGTTTTGGGCCACAAGTATATATAATATATACTTGTGGCCCAATATACAAGTATATTTAAGGATTAACATGTCTAGATTATAATAATAAGTATTAAAACTTTATTACGAAACAGGATATTTTAAAAAAGTACTTCTACAGACACTTTCAATTTTTACTTAGAAATAGATAAATTCATTTATTTGATAAAATGCAATTATTTGGTTTATTTCAGTCTCTGATTAATAAAAAGTGACGAAACACCATTTTAAAGTGCATTTTTATTCAACTAATATATTTATAAATGATATGTAGCCCCAAAAGTAGCCAAAGCGCCAAATGATATTTTTTACGTTAAACTAAAAAAAGTAGCCACATTTGGCGCAATGTAGCCAAATCTTGCAACGCTGGAAGGAATACTAAATAAAGCTGGAGTTTTAACTCAAAGGATTATAGAGCCAAATTCGGAAAAAGAAGAGAAAGGACAAAAGATAAAGTGAGAAAGGTTGGAAAATTAAGACTCAATATTTGCCTAACAGAAGAACTATTTAACCTTTCTGACAACTTTTTATCTTTTGTCCTTTCTCTCTTTTCACCAAATTTGGGTCTATAATCCTTTGAGTCACAACTCCAGCTTTATTTAGTAATTATTCCTCATTCACACATCTCCAAGTACTGTATATGAAAATATTTTATTTCTACTCAAAACTAAAATATGAATAAAGGTTTATGGCTTTGTGAAACTTCATTTCTGAGTTTATGCCGTTGAAATAAATAAATAATAAAAAATTAAAACATTTGTCGGTTTTGTTTACACCTTTATTGGGCCGCATTGGAACTTGCCTTGGGCCGCATGCGGCCCGCGGGCTGGACACCCCTGATCTAATATTTTCATCTACAAAATATTGTTAAAATAATAAGATCTATTATGATGATGGAATAATTACCAGAAATAAATTTAAAAACTGAATTTACTTAACACTGCCCTAATGAAGAATATCTTATTGTCATGATAGCTTTGGAAGCCATAAATGCAAGAGAGATGTAGAGAACAAAATTTTATTTTTGAAAGACTCAATATATTTTCTTGGAAAACATCTTTCTTTTAAATAAGATATATTATTATTATTTACAATTTAGTTTTATATAATTCAAATTTCAATTATACAAAGCTAACTATTAAATTTATTTGATTTTTTTATTTGAATAATTTCATTAAAACTAATCAAAACTATTTGAAAATAATGAAAAAAGCTAAAGCTAAAAAATTGTGCATTAAAATTATACAGTGGGATGCAAAAGTAGGTATACAGATGAAAATCTGAGAAATACAATGTTTGGTGTTCATTATTATTATTTTATTATCTTTTATTAGTTCATATTCCTTATTTGTGATTTAATTTGTACATAAAAATAATTGTTTTTTCTACCTATTTTCTTCCTGTATGTTTTTTCTCAAAACAACAACTGCATACCTACTTTTGCACCCTCCTGTATTTAAAATGTGAAAAGTTTAAAATACTTTTGAATTATATATAGAATTCTATACAGAACAAACTAACTTTTGCTATTAGTAAATAATTTAATAACATTATTGCTATAATCTTTTACCATGTTTTTTTAAGAGAAATTGGTTAAGAGAACTATTCTTTAATTCAATTTAACACTACCTTAATCAGAGATAACTAGATTACAAGATTTTTTATACTTTCAAAAGAGAAGCAAGTTATTTTAAATGAGTGAGAAATATAAAATTTACCATCCAGAAGCTTCCCTAATAAACTCCCCAAATAAAATATAGTTTTCCACAATATATTTCTGTGTTTCATCTTCCATAATTCATCATATCGAATACTGAATATACAGTAGAGCATCGATTATCCAACTCAATTGGGGACTGGGGTTAGTCAGATAACCGAAAAGTATGTAAAATACATTATTAGTATAGTATATTAGTATATCCCATGTACTTAGTATATTAGTATATCACTATTAACCTACTTTACGTTGAATTTTCATCGATGTTAAGCCTAACAAAATTTTATTTTAAATAATAATTGTCACTATTGTGTTGTTAAAAATTATTTTAAAATTACAGTAGAACCTCCATTATCCGGACCTCTATTATCCGGATTTTCGATTATCCGGATTGTTCAAAATAAACAAAAATTTTACGAATTTGCTAATTTGCACTTGGCGAATTACGACACTGTTTATGTATGTGACGGAATGCATAACTTTTTTTTGTTTCAACAACGTCTCACCCAGCACAGTGGTCGTAAACTCTTAAATATATTTTACGTAGTAATAAAAATATAACTTGACATACGTATTTATAAATAATTTATATTCAAATTACATCATTTCTATGACCAAGGGCGGCGTAAGGCATGG